TTTTTTTTTAATTTTTTTTTCAACGTTTATTTATTTTTGGGACAGAGAGAGACAGAGCATGAACGGGGGAGGGGCAGAGAGAGAGGGAGACACAGAATCGGAAACAGGCTCCAGGCTCTGAGCCATCAGCCCAGAGCCCGACGCGGGGCTCGAACTCACGGACCGCGAGATCGTGACCTGGCTGAAGTCGGACGCTTAACCGACTGCGCCACCCAGGTGCCCTCTGGGGTCTGTTTTTAATTAACTTTAGTTAAAACGCCTGTGTGCAAATCACTTGTTAGCTGTAATAAAAGGGAAGTCTGAATGAGACCCTGTGGTTCCACGAAGATATTTCAAGGGAAAGAGAGAGAGAAGGCCAGGGAAGGTGTAGGTAAGTTTTAGGACACAAGTAAACTTAAAGTGTAAAATATATATCACCATTTTAGAAGCATGTTTTTGGGTTTGCTTTCTCCCCCTGCTTTATTGGGGAGGACTTGCCATTGCTTTTATCAAGTGCTTGCTAGCCATGGATGCCAACTAACTTCTTCGATTGAAGGCCGGAGGATCATGTCTGGTTCCAGGAGCCGCTTGAGCAGGTCCTGGCATTCGGCTGAGATGCCCAGATGAGTGGGGAAGGACACCCCCTTCTGCTGCTGCCACAGCATCTTGGGGATGTCTGTGTCGTCAAAAGGTAGGCTGGCACAGAGCATGACGTACAGGACCACGCCCATACTCCAGACGTCGCCCTTCTTGCTATCGTGAGGAATACCCTGCAGCACCTCGGGGGCGGCGTAGGCTGTGCTGCCGCAGAACGTCTGGCTCAGCTCTCGACGTGACTTGGGCAACACCTTAGCGAAGCCAAAGTCAGTCAGCTTCAGGTTGAAGCCCTGCAACAAGGCGTTCTCACACTTGAGGTCCCGATGGGCCACACCGCAGCCGTGGCAGTAGCGGATGGCCTCAACCATTTGACGGAAGAGGGCCTTGGCCCGGCTCTCGGGAAGTGGCCCCCCGTTCAGCACACAGTCAAAGACGTCCCCGCCTTCAGCCAGTTCCATCACCAGGTAGATTTTCCCATCAGCAGACTCCAGCATCTCATACACCTGGATGATGTTCTTGTGGTCCAGGGTACAGACAATCTGGAGCTCCCGAGGCAGGAATCTCTGGATAAATTCTGAGGAAACAAGGAGAAAAGAGATGGGATCTCAAGTCCAGGAAGGCATAACCCTTCACTCCTGTCCCCTCCTGCCAGTTTCTCCGCCCAGCATGTCTGGGTCTTGTGTGTTGGTTCCCATTAACAGTCTTAAATGTCTAGCTACTTGGACGTTGCAAAGAATGTTCACTGCTATTATTTTTGTAGTTAATATATTATTCAAAGGAACTACTCCAGGCCATCCTCAAGGACTGTTGTGAGCCGCCTGTGAGACCATGGATATCAAAGTGCTTTGGGGATTTTTAGAAAAAACCACTGAATCTCAGTTATGAGGCCTGATTTGCCATCTCCTCACACCCCTGCCTCCTGACCCACGGTTCTTCCCTTGAGCCCGGTCTTCCTTTTTTCCCATCCCTAACTGCATTGGCAACAGCTCCTGCCCTCCACCAGCCCGGGCCATGGTCTCTCTGCCTGTCTCTGTCCCCCTCCTAGAACAGGGAAGGCTGGCAGGCTGGGCTTCTGGTTCTAAGGACCCTTCACTAACTGCCACTTAAATTTTGGGTTTTGGAGGGTGTGATGTTCCTGGACTCACAGCATCCTTTTGTTCCCCGCTGACCTCCACCAGAGCCACAAACTCTTGGGATTCCTTGGTTGCAGACTAAAGGGGAGGTGGGGATGTTCCTTCCCACTGGTGGAAGTGTCCACCCACCTCAACCAGCCCTCCCTTTCTCCAAAGGGGCCCCAGCTCACCTTCCGGCCCTCCCATCTTGTCTATAATTTTAATTGCCACTTTTGTTTGGTGTTTTTTGGAAAATGCTTCTTTGACTTTTGAGTAGGTCCCTTCCCCAATGGTCTTGCCCAGCTGGTACCCATTGGAGAGCAGAAAGTCCTCCATGCTGTCTAGCGCCTCCTTCCTTCCTATCACCCTCTCAGCTCATGCTGCCTCTGTGAGGCAGCTCTACTCCACCATCGCCCTTGGCCTGCTCCTTTTCCCCCCAAGGACTTCATCCGCAGCCGTCCCCACGCTAGAACATTCTCCGTCTGGACACAGCAGCCACGGGTGGTGGGGAGGGAGAGGACCAGACATTTTAAAACTCCGGCCCAATTGTGATGTAAATGCTGTGTGACCCTTTGGCCAAAATGGGCAGAGCCCTTACCTGTCCTCACCATCACCACTACCAAATCCAGTATGGGCTAAGTCCCTGCTGCGCCCCCGCCCCCCGCGCCAGGCAGGGAGTCGCAGCCCGCCCGGGGGCGCCCCGGGACGTCTGCGCGTCTCCAGGGATGACGGGCTCCTTTTCCTGGACGCCGCCTCGTGGCTGCTTGCCGCAGCCTCCTGCGCCCGGATCGGACTGCGGGGAACCTGCCCGACCCAGTGCCGAGGCGCCATGGCAAAGGCCCTCCAGCCCGGGCTCGCTGCGGCGCGGAGTGCCGGGCAGCCCAAGACGGCTGGAGGTTCCCGACGGGAGGAACGGGCTCTGTGAGGTCAGCGCGCCGCGGCCCGGATCACAATGCAGCCCCCCCCCCTCGACGCCCGGGCCGTGGCGCGCCGCAGACACC